TAGTACTGTAATACCAGCTGCTCAAGAGGCTGAATCAGGAGGATCACAAGTTCAAGGCCAGTCAGGGCAACTTCGTGAGACCCTGATGGAAAGCAGTATAGGGCTGGGTGAGGGCAGCTGCATACCTAGCAGTGCCACGTTCAGGTTGGCACCGCTGGCATCCTGGGTTTTCTGCTTCCCCAGGATTGCTACCTCCAACGGCAGCTCATGGTGGACTGCCCACATCGGTAGTCTCAGGCCGGATGGAACTTGTCAGGATGTGGCCATCATCCTTCATCCATCAGGGTGAACCCCCCACCTTCAATGTCACCATCCTGGTGACGGCCAAGATGCCAATCCTGCTGTACTTATTCCTTCTCACCAACCCACCTCCCAAAGCCTTGACTCAAAACTACACCCTTCCAAGTTTCTTCGGAGCTTTTCAAGTCTGGCAGATGTTTTCTTAGTAAGAACCTGGCCTCGCCCCGCCCCCGGAAACACTTCTTTTAAAAACTGCTGCTTCAGTGGGAACATTTTCTTAGGGTTCCCTTTTCCCAAGAGGAACTATATTGTTGTTGTTATTAAACATGGTTCTTTGCCCTTCTAAGTGGCTAGGAAAGTCATGAACATAATTTGGGCTGAAGCTTGAGGTCACCATCTGCCAGCTTCTCCGCCCCAGGGTCTGCTCCTCCGAGGACAGCCTTGCGTTCCCTCCCCCTCCACATCCCCCACTTCCCCTGGCTGCTCAGACTAGGTGGGCACTTGGAGGTGTCTGCACCTGCGCGGCCCCTCCAGCCCTTCCTGGCTCCGGAGAGGTGCGACACCCCTGCCTTGTTTCTGGTTTCTGTCCTCCGAGCTGGCTCTGGGCTCCGGGACTCAGGCCGCCCTGCCTGCTCCGGCTGCTGCCGGGATTGGGTGCCGAGGCGCCGCCTCCGTCTCTGCGCGCCCGCGCGCTCGCTCCCGCCCTCCCTCTCCCCTCCCAGCCCGCTCCGGTCTCAGCCGTTTGGGCTCCGCACTGCAGATGCCAGCCGGTCTCCCCGAGCTCCGCTGCTCCCGCCGTGTCCCTCTGATCCTCCGGTCTCCGGAACTCCCGCGGCTGCTGCTGCTGCGCGCTCGCTCGCCGCTCGCCAAGGAGCCTCGCCGTCTTGGAGACTCTGAGCCCTGCGTGCGGAGTCGTTCCGGCGGCGGCGCAGCAGCGAGGACCCGGGAGGCCGACGCCGGCGCCCTCGGATGCGGCAGGACAAGCTGACCGGCTCCCTGCGTCGCGGCGGGCGATGCCTGAAGCGCCAGGGCAGCGGCGGTGGCGGCGGCGTGGGCACCATCCTGAGCAATGTGCTCAAGAAGCGCAGCTGCATCTCACGGACCGCGCCCCGGTTGCTCTGCACCTTGGAGCCGGGTGAGGCGCGGGCTGAGGGCGGGCGCCGGGGTGCAGGTTGGGAGGGATGGGAGCGGACCCCGGCTTGGGTGCGTTCAGCCGCCGCCAGGGCACCGGCCACCCGCCGCCCTGCAGAAGCCACCCCGCGGCGGCCTATGTGCTCGGCCTCCGTGCGTGTGCATGGTGGGGAAGTGAGGGAGGCTGCCCCCTCCAGCCCAGGCTGCGTCACCTATTGTGTTTCTGGCTCCCTGGGAGCCAGACTTCCAAAGAGGTGTGTGGGTTGGCCTTGACCCCCGCAGGTCGGGAGCAAAGGACGGTCGAGTGCATGTTTTCTCGAGAGTCCTGTGGTGTGTTTGTGTCGGGGTAGGAGAGGGCATGGGCTCGTTTCCGTAGGTAAGGTCCAGGAGCCCTCCTGGCCTTGTGAGAACAGGCCCTTCCTACCATCCCCTTGTATTTACACATCCCGGCTTCTCCAGGCTGCGCTTATCTCCGCGCCAGCTCGGTCACCTGGTATCGTTGCTCAGGGTTTTAAGAGCCTGGCCCTGGCACCCGCGCCCGGGCGCTGAGGGTGCTGGCAAGGGTGCCCGCTCGGCGCTCTTCTTTCCCTGGAGTGGCCCCGGCTGCCTCCAGGCAGTTTGTGGTCTCCACAGTACCCTCCTTTCCCACCTCCCCACCCCTTCTGGGACCTGCTGCCACCCAGCCGCTGCAGATGCTGCCCAGGCACTGGGTCCCGAAGGGTGGAATGTCTCGCTGCCTTCCCGAACCTCGTGGTTTCTTTGTTTTTCTCCCCAACCGAAGTGTCTAATTGCAGAGTGTAGTATTTATTCACCGGTCTTCTTTTACCTTTTTTTTTTTCTTCTTCTTCTTCAAATCTCCTTCCCACGTTGAACCGTGTTTTGTATTTCTGAATCCGGAACAGCTGTGATTATCAGATGAAACACAAACCTCCTCTCCTTCTCGTTTCGCTTAGAAGAAAAGAGCGTGAAAATGACCCGATTTAAGCCTTTGCATGCGGGCGGCGAGTGATCAGTTCCACTTAAAACCTGACTCACTTTTGATCGGGAGGAAATAGTTGTGGTTTTGACTGACTAGCCCCAGTGGGGTTTCAGCACGGGAAAGCAATTGGTATCCTCCCAGCAAGTGGCCCCCGAAAGTCAAAGTAGCATGTTTGGCCAGGCACACTGGGGATCCAGTGGTTTTAGGGCAGTGGCAAAGTCACCATGGGGCCGAATTTCCTGGTCTTTTTGTAATAAGGCAGGAGGAATCATAATTATAAGCGCTTGCATTCAGCACCCCAGGCCTGGACAGCATCCTCGCTACAAAGTCCATTTCATTGGTTGGAACTGGAGGCATTCTTGGTAAAAACCATCTCTCAGAGATGGGAATCAGTGGGTAATTAATATTCTCTTGGAGAAGAAAATCATCCATCCAGGTATAACACGGGTTTGATTTTAAAGCTTTGAAATGTCGAGGTATCATCAGCATCATCGGATGCCCTGAATTTTTGACAGGAAGTCTAGGTCTCAATACATGTATTCAGAGCACTTACTTGTACAGGGCTCCGTATCATTGTCTTCAGTGAGAAGAGCAACGTCACCACCATATCTGCTACCATCATGGCCTTGGGCCAACCAGACATGTCTTTCTTGCTCCTTGATTCCATATGTATACATTTTAAAAGGCCACTTTATTATTATTTTTTAAAGCCCTGAAGATGGTTCCTATCCATGCCAACATCTAAGTGTTCCAACCCATGCCAACCTCTAAGTGGTGGAAGTTGAGAGGTTTTTAATATGAGTACTCTACGGTCTACTTCTGAGTGGCAACAACATCATCATTTGATTTTTCTGAGTATTTATCGAGGATGTTTGACATTTCTTGGTCCTTGAACTTGTAAGCAATACATCTTTTTTAAAAATTGGCTGAAGAGGCTGGGGAGATAGCTTAATGGTAAAGCGATATCTATGGAAACATGAAGACCTGCATTTGCACCCTGAGAAACTATGCAAAAACTGCCCAGTGTAAGCCCGTAGCGCCAGCATTGGGGGTTGGGGATGGAGTTTATTGATTAGCCTAGCAGCATGGGTGAGCTCCACAGTGACAGACTCTGAGCCAAAATATAAAGTGGAAAGCAGTTGAGGAAGACGCCCCATGTGCGTGCTTACTTGCACACATAGGTAGACACACTCGTCTGAGTACACGCACGCACAGAGAACTTAAATCTGGACGTGATGCTGGTGCCTGCCTATAATCCCAGTGCTTAGAAGACACAGGAGGTGAAGACAAGACAGGTCTGCACAGTGAGTTCCAGGCCACTAGGGGCGAAGTAATGAAACCCTGTCTTCAAAAAACCAAACCGTGTTATCAAATGATTTTTGAAGTCATAGAAAAAGAATATAGAGTATGTTTGGATTTGATTATATTTTTTTTTGTAGAATTTAAACACAAATAAGAATTGTTATGGGATTTCTCTGCAATAACAACACACAATTCTATTACAGAATTGTGAATATAGGCTAAATATAAGTAATACAAATGTATTTTTTTAATGTACTTTCTCACTTCTGTTCCATAGCTTTGGGATTTGGATTAAAGAAAATTAAAGTGGTAGATTACCTAGGATTAGAATTCAGTCCTATCTTTAGTTTATGCTCTAGAGTTTAATATATTTTTATATAAATATTATATTATATATAATATATATTTTATCATCAATGAATATTAAGACAATTAAAATATTTGGAAGTTATCAAATGGAGTTGCTATAATAAATCATTCCGGAAGCAGAAAGAGGTGTGGGAGGGTGTAGCCCAGTGAAAGAGCCCATACTGGGCTCTAGGTTCCATCCCCGGCATAACCAAATCAAAGCAAACAGAAAGATGTACACAGATGGAGTCTAATTTGTACTGTTAGGACTCTACCTCAGCACCCTGCACACACCAGGCACTAGCTCTGCCTCCTTGCCACAATCACATGCCGTGATGGTATATTACAGTTTTTGATGCTCCAGTGAAGTGTCC